GCCCCGCCTGCTCCGATGCCCGCCTCTCCCTCCCCCGCCGGAGACAGCCTCCCCCACCATCAGCTCATGCAGCACATGATCCAGCTCCTGGGCGGTGGCAACTCTCAAGTAAGTCCAGCGCCTGGGCCCCGCCCTCCCTCTCGCACGGACGTACGGCGGCGCCATGGGCGTAATCCGGACACGGTTGCTTGAAGTCTCGCAGTGGGCGGCTTCTGGACGGGGTGTGTCCCTCACCTCCCTCTCCTCCCCGACAGGCGCAGACCCCGGAAGTGCGGTTCCAGCATCAGCTGGAGCAGCTGAACGCCATGGGCTTCATCAACCGCGAGGCCAACCTCCAGGCCCTCATCGCCACGGGGGGAGACGTCAACGCGGCCATCGAAAGACTGCTGGGCTCCCAGCCTTCCTAATGCTGCATTTCTCTCCCACCCACCCCGATAATACACCCCTCCAGTCTGTTACAGCAGGCAGATCGTGAGGACTCTGGCCTTCTCTGATCCACCGAGCTCCACCGGTTGATTCAGCCGTGGAACCGGAAGATGCTTGAACAGGGCACTGCCCGTCTGGACATCTCCTCCTCCCTTCCTGGGGGGGGGGGAAACCTGCATCGCGCATGGGTTCGGATTCCCAGTTTTTGAGACCACGTGCTTCTTCTCCCGGCCACACCGCTCCCCCCTGTCTCCCTGACCCCCCCCTCCCCAAAATTAGGAAGCTTCTCTAGTTATTAGAAGCAGAACTTTTGGGTTAGCCCAAAATATTGTGTTGACTTAGGTGGCCTTCCGCCCCGATCCCCTTGCCCACTCCTTCCTCCCGGTCAGCCAGGAAGTGACCCTGTCTTCCCACTGCCTAAAGGTGTGTCTTACTTTGAACAGCATGGAAAGGATATGATTTATTTTTATTTTATTTTATTTTAAATGCTAGTAGATGCAGAGAGGGACCTTCTTCCTCCCCCCAGGGGGTTCTGGCGCTCTCCTTGCTACAGCGGCTTCCCGCCTGGGCTCTTGCAGCCTCCCCTGCTTGGCTTTCCCGGTGCGGAGCAGCGGCCTTCTCAAGAAACGGAGCTGAGCACCTCGAGGCCACCCGAGCAGGCATTTAAAGGGGGGCCGAGTAGTCCGGATGTAGACACGGGGGTTTGGAATCGTGTGTTCTTTTCTCCCTAAGAAGTCTCTTTTCGAATGCAATGGACCTGAAAAGTGGCCCATAATATTTCCCCCTGGTCCTACCCTCTGCCAGCACACACACATACACACACAAAATACGTTGGTCAAGTTCTGGACTTTGCTTTTCTAACCAAAAACACGCTCCTCCTGCACCCGAAAAGAGAACGGGGCCACGAGGAGTCCCCCTTCCACCTTCCCGGGAAGATTATCCCCACTCCGTTCTCTCCCCTCCCCTCCCGCCCACTCCTCTGAACTTTTCCCGGTTCGGTTCGGGAGATTGCCGATTCCACACACACACACACCCGGACAAGCTGCAGGGTGATCCGGCCACACTGACCACGCTGCAGGATTTAAAAAATCTGGTTTTCCATCCAGGAATAAAGTGCCCGAAATAACCCATCTCTTTCGTTGTGGGGCTTCCGTTCGTTCTAATGCGGGCAGCCGTTCCTCTCGGCCGCTTTGCTGTCGACCCAAGAGGTTCTGTGCCTGTATGGGTGATGGCAGGATGAGGCCCCCATGGCTTGGTGGCTTTACCTGTTGATCCAGCTGGAATGGGGAGGGGGGCATTCAACAAGGATCCCTGCGGAAATGACTTTGAGAAAACAGACAGGCTCTTTAATTTTTCCTTTATTTTGTGAAATCCCTCCCTTTTTATATTTGCATATAAAAAGAATGCTTCTCAGTGGGATCCGGAGCATGTTTCACACATGGAGGGGTCCTCCAGGCTCAGTGTTTGGCAGCATCTTGAAATCAGAAGAAATAGAAAGCAAATTCTGCTTAAAAACCATACATTTTAAATAATTATTTTGAAACAACTTCTTGGATACAAGCTGCCTCGGAAGCTGTTTTTGGTGACTTTTCTCTGGCCCTTTGGGAGATCAGCTTGGCCGCGGAGTGCTTGCAAGGCGCTTGGTGGCTTTACCTGTTGATCCAGCTGGAATGGGGAGGGGGGCATTCAACAAGGATCAGGATTCCCTGCGGAAATGACTTTGAGAAATCAGACAGGCTCTTTAATTTTTCCTTTATTTTGTGAAATCTTTCCTCCCTTTTTATATTTGCATAACTGCAAAAAGAGGGGGGGGGGGAAATGCTTCTCAGTGTGATCCGGAGCATGTTTTGCACACGGGGGGTCCTCCAGGCTCAGTGTTTGGCAGCATCTCAAAATCAGAAGAAATAGAAAATTCTGCTTAAAAAACATACATTTTAAATAATTATTTTCAAACAACCTCTTGGATACAAGCTGCCCCGGAAGCTGTTTCTAGTGACTTTTCTCTGGCCCTTCGGGAGATCAGCTTGGCCGTGGAATGCTTGCAAGGCAGAAAGGTGGCCGCCTTTAAATATTTGAAGATATTTGCACTTTCTCACCCCGAAACCCTGTGGTTTCCAGTTTGTGAGAAGGGAGCCTAAATGTGAGAGAAGAACCTCCTCAGGGTCTGAGCTGTTCATCCGCCAGGAGGGGGGGTCTTTCAAAAGGCGTTTCTTCCTTGGCGTGCTTTGAAACAGAGACCAGAGGGGGACGCTATAGGGGTGGATTGCCGAACAGGCAGGGGGTTGGACTAGATGACCTTTGGGGGACCCCTTTCAAAAGGTGGTTTTTTGATTCCACAAAAAATGCAGCTTTTCCCTCCATTTTTTCTTCCTGCACCTTTTTTTATTTGCCAAGAACAGCAAGAGGTGGCGTTTTTTTAATCGCGCTGTTTCAAATCCTCTGTTTTGTTGTGTCTCAGCGCAGCCCAAACATTATCATTACTATTCTTTGTTTTGCCATTTTTTCTTCACCTACGTGTTACTTTTGATACCTTTTTCGACTGTATTTTGTAATCTTGTTATACAACCACGCTTTTTTTTTAACGTTGCAATTTTTGTTAAAACAAAACAAAATTACATTGTAAACTGCCTTTGATTCTAACTAGGAGAAAGGCAGGTGATTAAATATATAATCAAAGCAGCATAGAAATGTTTAAAAATAAATCCAGGGATTTCCTACAAGTTGGATAAAAATGTTACAAACCATCCAGGCAAAGCAAGCAAACTTTTATTAGCCCGGCAGGCTTTCTTCTCCAGTGTGTGGTAGCTTTTGCTAACCCCATGGACTATATTTATTTGATTTTCATCCCAACGTTTCCCCTTTGTTGGGGGGGGGGAAGACCCAAGGTGGCATGCAAAATGTTTGGAAAACCAGCTTGGACACGGCAGGCCCTATGTTTCTGAAATTTGAATTTTTAGGAAGAAATATTTAAAAAAAATTTTTTTTTAACAAACCTCTGAGGAGCCAAAAGTGGAATTTCTCCTTGCAAAACTTGGGTGGCTGATGGAGTGAGGCTGAGAAAGTTGGCTAAAGGTTTCACAAATTTCCAAAAGAAAATAAAAGTTGGTGCTCAATCACAAGCCAGGGGACCCTGGGGGGGGGGCACTTTTAAAAAGGCACCGAGTTCAAGATTCCCCACCCCCCTTTGAGCTTTTATGGAGCAAAATTAGCACCCGGTTCCTCGGTAGCATAGCGCATATGGCATGAACGAGGTTTTTTTTGGAGAGGAGATCTCTGTGTGCGCCTTGCAGTAGGAAGAAAACAGCGGGTGGGGGGGGGAATTTAAAAAAAGACAATTTCTCTCCACCCTGAGGAGTTCCTGCCAGGGAGCCACCCAGTTTGCAAAGAGAAAAAATCACTTCTGCCTCCAGGAAAAAACCTTTTTAAAAGAAAAATTCGCCTTAGCAAAATGCAAAGCATTTCCAAAGGCCGCGTCCAAGCAGAGGCGTGCGGAGGTTTGAGGGGCTGGATTTATTTATAATTACTATTTTTTTTTTTGCACTATAACTCCCAGAATGCTGCAGTCAACCAACCCCCCCCCCCCCCCCCCCCTCGTCTCCTTCTTCTCCTTCTTCTTCTTCTTCTTCTTCTTCTTCTTCTTCTTCTTCTTCTTCTTCTTCTTCTTCTTCTTCTTCTTCTTCTTCTTCTTCTT